AACCCATCCCAGTTGAATGTAACCTCTGCCCCCAAAACCTTTAGTGCGAGATTTCCAGCCCTCATTTTTCATTTATTCCGACGACGAACAATTGATACCTGTTCGAAAATTCACAAGTACAAGTCGGTTTTCCGAAGATCTTTCTTTTCATCATATCATCTCGGAATGCAAATTACTTCACTTATCCAATATACATCTACGGCCAATTCTCTCCATGTTTAATTCACCTTAAAGCAGACTAGCACAATGGCTTGTCGGTAAACTAAAGCCCATTCAAGAATTCTTCTCCACTTACACAACAAAGAACAATATTCATTTTATCAAATAAATTAAATTTCAAAACATCTCTGACAAATTTATTATTTCATTGGACGTCGAATCATTATTTAACAATGTACCACTAGGCGAAACAATTGGTTTTATCTGTGCACATGTGTCTGACACCCGTCTGTCGCCCAAAATACTGCGTCGGTTGTTGATACTCTGTACCAAAACGTTCAACTTCTGTTTAATGGGCAACGCTACAGACAAATTGATGGAGCCGCAATGGGAAGTCCACTCGGGCCAACCTTCGCTGATCTTTATATGGGTCATCTAGAAGAAAGAGTGCCATTAAAACTTAATATGACAGCAGTATATAGAAGGTACGTGAATAATATATTCACGATTGTTGATGCCAAAGAAGATGCCGATGACGTTTTACTGTTATGAATATTTTACATCAGAAACTTAAATTCACGATGGAAACGGAGCAGTGTACCATGCTACCTTTCCTAGACGTCCTCATATTTACAGAGGATTATGATTCAATACGGCTCTCTGTTTTCTACAAAAATACCTGGATAGGGCGCTACCCACATTTAACCAGCTATGTGCCAATAAAAGAAAACTAAATCTGGTATAAATTCTTTTTCAAAGAGCGAGGAATATTTAATCTACTGAGACCCCAGCTGCAGAAATTTCCCGCATCAAAACAGCCCTCCTTTACCATAACTCTCCTGCACGCTTCATCCAAAATTACAGCAACTCTTTGTGGCCAAAACTGATGGGACATTCAGTTCCGAAAAAGTCCGTTGTTATATCCTCGCCCTTCAAGGGTAATAATATTTCGAACACAATCAAGCGAGGTTTTCGCTGCACGATAGAAAGGACTTGCAACACAGCTGAAGTCGTGTTTCTCGGTTCTATTTAAATCCGTCCAATAAACCGGGCAATGAATAACTTACCGTTGCACGCCATCCCACATTTTGTGCACGAATTCGCGTTCACTTGCCAATGCAATTGGCTTGGGCGTACTTGTTCGGACACGAACAAATCGGACCCGCGCTACCTGGAAACAGCCTGCATACGGCGCGATAAAGCAGGCCTATGCAAGCAGCTGGACCATGTTGTCAATCTCCAATTGCCCTGGTAACCGGGAGCCTCGATTTAAGCACGACTGTGAGTTAGGGCAATTTCATTCTCCTTTTTTCTTTCCTATATGCTGATTTAAGGTAGTATCTTTCATTTGATATTTGCAGTGACCTATGACCTTTGCTGTCATGCATTCTGTGAAAATTCAAACTACTATATGCTTTTATTCTTCACCTAAATCATGTAGAGACGGGTTGCAGTTGAATGGCCATCAAGCAATTTATTGGATCCAATTAATTCTGTTGCCTTTGCCTGTTTCAAATATTAGTTAATAGAGAAAACACAGTTAATTCGGAGAAGAAAATTATCACGCATTTGCGCAGAGGGAACGCTAATTGTTTGGCCTGCAATCACCAACTTACTGACCAACCCAGGCAACGAACTGATGCATTCGGAAGGGAAGAACTAGTGACTTCGACAGAAGGAAAGACCTCCTCCATGGCACTTCAGCCGAATCCTCACTAAAATGAATATAACAAGTTTGAATTCATCCCAAACGTCATGGTTTAGAAGGATGCCAACTGAAGGAACGGCTGTGTCCGCGTAGTCAACCTTGTGTATGTGGGTTGATTAGTCTTATAATATGGTCCTCATGACACCGAATCACGCAGGGTCTGAATCATCCCACTTCTACAAGCCTGGTGCTTACTCCGGAGACCAATTTCTATGTGGTACACGTAGATGGCTGCGTAACTAAGACAGCTACTACAACTGAATGCGTCTCTGGTCGTCCTGACTCTGTCTTGCTGCCGGATCGAGTTAGTTGATGGATGATAGAGGGCGATAGAGGCCACACAAGTCTGATATCACTATAAATTAATCCACGTACATCTCACCGTCCCACGCCCATGCTGTCATGGGACACACAGCGGTCAGTGTCGTATGCAACGGTCACAAAGTCGTAGCATCATGCCTATTTATGAATTTGATGTCAGAGCCCCAGGCCCCCAGCAGTTATTGTTGGACTGCTTTAACGTTGCGAAAATCCCCATTCGATCATTCAGAAGGGCAG